GCACTCCCCCCATCATTCACTATGGTAAGATGTTTTGTTCTGATGATGCCTTACACCTGATCCCTTCGACACCGCGTGGTTGCACAGGCTGGTGTGCTTCTTCCCGGCGGGGCGTGTTGCTTCTGAGCTAGATGGCCGCTTGTTTACCTTCAAGCCTTTGGGTCTCCACTCCGCACTCCCTCCATCATTCACTATGGTAAGATTTTTTGTTCTGATGATGCCTTACACCTGATCCCTTCGACACCGCGTGATCGCACAGGCTGGTGGAAGCACTCATTTTCGAAAGGTTGCAATTAGTGGAGTCCTGTCAGCTTGTTCAAAAGATCTAAGATCTGGCCAACTGCCATCGAGCCCATTCAAACCCATAGTAGCCCTGTCAGGGCGATTGGGGCTGCCCATGTGGGCTTCCAAGACTAAATCTTTTGTTGTTGTTTTTTTAAAGACCATAGCTCTTTATGGGAGCAGAGAGCCTCGTCTTTCTCCCATGGAGCTCCTGGTGGCTTTGAACTGCTGACCTTGCGGTTAGCACCCTAGTGCATCACCCACTGTGCCAACAGAGGCTCACAGTGGTGAGGAAAGAGGCCCTGAACTCCAAATCTCGGCCTCCCATAGGCCACGGTTCCTTCTTGCTGTCCACTCATGCCCCGCCAGAGTATTTCATGCATATAAAACAGATGTCAACATGTGCCCCCCCCATCCCTTTAACCCTAATGAAAGCCCACTATTCTTGCGTCAGTTTGCAGTTAGTTCCCCAGGCTCCGAAGCGCTCCCAGCCAGTGTGCTACAAACAACTTTCTTAGTTCAGAAGTGCCACTAGATGCGAGGTAGGTTCTTCAGGGATCTGTATATAGACAGGACAGAGTGGGGCCGAATCTACAAGCCTTTGTTTCACTCAGGGGCCTTGGGATAATATGAGGGGACTTCCAAAAGAATGTGGACAAATAGAGTAAGAAGATAAGGCCATTTTCCCACAAGCTTTTGGGAGCCCATTTGCATATCAGCTTCAACCTGTGAGCTTTGCCCTGGGGACAAGGGTCCCCCTGGAATTTCTGGGGACTCTGCTCTCCTTAGTGACGGTCAAAGTCCAGAACTTCGGCCAGCACGTCATATCTTCAGAGCGTGTTCCCTCTGATGTCATATGACTGGTGCGAGCCTCTGCACACACAAGCAGAGGGTGTGCTGTCTGCAGACAGGCTGCTCCGGAGCCCTGGGCCTGGGCCGCCAGGAGGGCTAGCACAGGATTTCCGTCCAAGCCGCAGTCATGCAATTCTGTCGGGAAGGACCAGGGTCCTCTCCTCCCACCGAGGTCCTCTGCTTTCCCGACCGGGGTCCCCTCATTGTGGCTTAACCTGGTATGTTTCCTGTGACCAGAAGTGCCATCCTGTGCGGCAGCCAGCAACGTCCTTTGCATCTTCAGTTCAATTATGTTGACTTCCTGTGGCTTTTTCCCACTGGCCTTTGACCTCCTGTGTAGAGTGGTTTAAAGCCAGAGAGTCTCCTAGCCCTGTGGCTCCCTCAGTAGCATTGAGGCCCTCGGGGCCTTCTGGGTCAAATGCCCCTGGCGAAACCAGGTAGCCTTCATGTGCCAACCTGGTCCTGGTGTGACTCATTGTTGACCTGTGGTCAGACCGTCCCGAGGGAGGTCTGACTGATGGGGACTAGAGTAGATCTGTTGTCACCCTGCCCCAGAGAGGAGGCTACTATCACTGCTCTTGGTACAGTGCCAGGCAGATGTGGCTATATGCCCCTCCCTCGCCACTTCTGCTCGGTGCTAATGCACCCTTCCTTCCTGGACATGTACGAGTCCGTGTCCTCAAAGCCGACTCTCAGACCCCGAGGCTCTCCCAGCCATGTAAGCAAGAGCATGAAACCGTCCCTTCTTGGGAAGGGGAGTCTGTCAGCCTGATGCTACTGCAGAGGAGGGCTTTGGCAGCCAGGCACCAGCCGTCTTGCCAGTTTGTCACATGAACAATTGCTCAGCAAGCCTGCCCTGTCTTGCACTTGGACAGTGTATGGGACACTGCTCGGGCCTCCTCGCTGGAGATCCTTGCAGCCTTGCCTCCAGCCAGGGTAGCTTGCAGGGCCAAGGGCAGTGCAGCTGGCCTTCCCCTTTGCCCAGCACTCGCTCCAGAGATTCCTCTGACTGCCCTGGGGCTGACTCTCTCCGAGCTTCAGTGGGCTCAGTCGGGTGTAGAGAAATGTATGTCCTGGGCTGAGCTCAGTGGCCAGCACACGGCCAGGGCTTCAGTGGGCACTCTTCCTAGCACGCAGTAGGCAGAGCTTAGAGGAGCAGGCCCGTGACAGGTCCTTGGTACCTGGCTCCCTGGGTTTGCTCTCGGGGGGGCTGAGCCTCATTCCAACACGATGGCAGCGAGTCAGGGACGGAGTCACCTCTCGGGTGGTGGCTGTGCTTTGTGGAGAACCTGTGGAAAGCAGTCAGCAGGGTGGGAGTAAAATTCTGTATGTTGAGAGAGGCGTGGGGGTATAGCATGCACCCTCCAGAATGCTACTTACTGTTTTAAATGTGTGCTTGTTTGTTTTTAAGTCTCCACTTTGTGTCTGGAGTGGAGATGAAGTGGTTAAAACCTAGCCCTGTGTTTGTGATTGCGGGACTGTAGTTTGGTCTTGACAAAGGGGGTGGCGTGTACAACAGGCTCCTGCCTAGAACCCTCTGGATGGTCTATATCCTGCCATCCCGGGATGCCCTCTCAGAAAGCAGGGTGCGTAAGCATGGGGAGGCGGTCAGGACGTCCCAACAGTCGCCCTCTCCAGGCTCAGGCGGTGACCGGCTCGCGGTCACGTTCCAGGTCTGATCTTCGTGGTGGACAGTAACGACCGAGAGCGGGTCAACGAGGCCCGGGAAGAGCTGACCAGAATGCTAGCGGAAGACGAGCTCCGAGATGCTGTGCTGCTGGTGTTTGTCAATAAGCAGGTTTGTGGGCTTCCTGAGGGGCTGGGTGGACGTCGACGGATGGTGACTCATTTACAAATGTGGATCTTTACATCTGTGTCTGTTCCCCGCCTCCAGTCCCCACCATTACCGCCCTCGCCCTCCCTTCCGAATGTGTAATATAGCCAGCCACTCATCGGGCCACTCGGGGTGCCAACTGAGCTTCTGCAGAGTTCCAGACAGTCCCTGGGTGCCAAATGAGATCATGCCTAACTGCATCTTGGAGCAGCATTCGTAGGTGGTCAGAACGAGCGCCTACAGCCCTCAGTCTTACGATAGCGTGGACGAAGGCTCACGAGCTCTTCGATGACTCACTGTCAGTGAAGGGGCTCGTGCTGACGAATTTGTAGCCCGGTGGCATAGTGGTTACGCTCACCTAGTGGGCTGCTAACTGCAGTGTCCGCAGTGGGACACCACCAGTGGCTCTGCTGGAGAACGAGGCTTGCTACGCTGGTCACGTGGGAGGTGGTGTTGAGTCAGTTCCAAATCTCAGCTCCCCTACGGACATCCGAGCACCTCACGGCCTGGCGCAGCGCCGCCCTCACCCCTGTGCCCCATTGGAGCCCCTGGTTGCGTCGATCCATCTGTGGAGGGAGGGCCGTCATGTTCTCTGCTCCAGGGGCTAGACTGTGCTCACAGCGCTGTCAAATTCCGTACCTCTCTTTCCAGAAAGATAACTCTCCGGGCTTCGGTAAGCCTGTGTAGGACTGTGTACCTAATGTAAACTTCAGGGACCAGACCTTGCATTGTGTGTTGCAGCCTGCTTGCCCCTTAGCATCCCTCAGCTGGCCCTCCACATTAGTACATCCCAGTCCCCCTGGCTCTTAAGGCCCATTCATCTGGACGTAGTTGAAGTTGACTGGCATCGGCATCAAATAACAAGAGAGACTTCCTGCTCTTAGGAAACGTCCATTCTAGTGAGGAGTGATAGGGAAGCCATCATTGCATTTTGGAATACAGTATAGTGAAAGGTGAGTACTAGAGAGCGCTGAGCAGGGAGGGGCAGTTAGGAGAGGGGGGAGAGGGGCACAGGCTTGGGTGTGAAGGTCTTGTAGGCCATCGTGAGGACTTGGCTCTTACCTGAGAGGATGGGAGAGAGACAGGCTCCGGGGTAGGAGGTTGCGAACCCCTTGGTTTGACTCTCACTGGCAGCTGCGCTGAGAAGGGGCTTTCGGGGAGCAGAGTAGGGACACCAGTTAGGGTGGCTTTATTGAGAAGTGACGATGACAACGACGGTGGTCCAGTCAGGGTGGTGACTGGGGAGTGGTGAGAAGTGGTCAGACTTGGAAGGTGCTTGGAGGTGGCGCCATCAGGGGCTCCTGACAGAGCGACTGGGGCTCGAGGGAGGTTCCGATGATGTGCAGGTGTGGGGCCCGAGCACCTGGAGGGGTGATTTCCTCGAAGAGACCCAGGGAAGACTGCTAGTCATGGATAGTCCTTCAGATGTGGGTGTAGCACCATGACCTTACTTTCCGATATTCTCTTTCAAGGACCTGCCCAACGCCATGAATGCAGCCGAGATCACGGACAAGCTCGGCCTACATTCCCTCCGGCAGAGAAACTGGTACATTCAGGCGACCTGCGCCACCAGTGGAGACGGGCTCTACGAAGGCCTGGACTGGCTCTCCAACCAGCTCAAAAACCAGAAGTGACCATTGGCAGCGAGCCCCTTACCCGTGCGTCGTGGCAAAACCCGCTGGCCTCTTCCGTGCGTGTGTGCGTGTGAGGAGCCAAGTGTGCATGTGTGCTGGGAGTGGGGGCAGCTTTCTCACACTGTGCCTTATACGTGTGTAAGGAAACCCGTATTATGTTTGAGGGAAAACCAGTGTTACCTTTGACATGCTCCCTTCCATTTCAGTAGCTTGCTGACCATGTGGCCGTTGGAGGCTGTCGTATACCCTGCAGGTATGTGCTGACTGGACGGGTCTTCAGGGCAGGAGGAGGCTGAGCGTGTGTGTGCCTATGGACCAGCCGGCTATCGGAGCTGCCTCGCCCAGACCCTGTTTACCTTGGCCTTCCTCTGGCAGAAGGGAAGGAAGGCGCTGTCATGGCTCCCATTCCCGCCACCACTTGCTGCAGGTCTGAACCTACCCCCTTATGTGCGACTGTAGCCCTGACGTCCTGGTTCTCCCAGGCTTCATTTAAAGGAAGCTGCGGTCTGACATTCCCCATTCAGATTCCACAACCCGAGAGAATTCCTCAGTTCCTCCCTTTGTCTCTCCAGGGTGGAGGCCATTTGGTAGTGACCAAGGATGACACTAAGGCTCTTTCCCAGAGCAAAGGGTCTTGTTAAGGGTGTGAGGGGACTGGTTGTGTGTGTGTGTGTGTCCTGGCATCGCCATCCAGGCCCCTGAGGCTGCTCCTCCCCCTTCTCTGCTCTGTGCTGAATGCACGCACCGCCTGGCCTGGCAGCCTTAGGCCAATGCACAGTTGTGATTGACTTCTGTTCCCAGACACATTTGGGAGTTCTGCGGGTTTGTGCCAGGATCACGAGGGAGATTTCGGGGAGGAGACTCGCTGTACCCTCCATTGTGGCCCCCAAGTTGGTGCTAAATTTTGTAAAGGAAAAATGCTGTGTCCAGACCGGCCTCAGTGGTGCCCTGGTCATGATGGTCCTGTCTTCTGGACTCCTGGGACACCCTCCATCGTCCTCGCTGTTCACAAGGGTGCGATGCCTCTGGCCACTGGGGCCACCGCTCTTCTTCCCGCACACCTGATGGCCAGACTGGTCCCCAAGCGCTTCCACAAATTCACCTTTGTGAATTCTTTTTCAAAAAGCCTCCACTCAAACTCCAGGGGGTGGGGACCGTGAAGTGAAGGGGGACAGAAGTAAACCTTGTTTATTGATAATATCAATATTCCGAGGGAAACTATCTCTTATCATCATCGGTGGAGTGGAGTGTTTTCCTTTAAGATAGTTCCTTTAGTGAATGTTCATTGCAATACTGGCCACTAAGCCCAGGTATGATTTGTAACCACGGAGTGAGTCCTGTGTGCAAACTACTTAGATTGTGTGCCCGAGATTGGCAGGAACGGTGTCGTGTGCTTTTGTACGGTGCTCAGTGCAGTGGACCTGGTGCGGGGCTGGGCCTCATCAAACATTGTGGATTGCTCGGACAATAAAGACATTACTTTGGAAGGTGGAGAGGACAGCCATGTGCTTCTGCATGTCTCCAGTGACATTCATTCTCTTCAGCCAGCTTTCCGAGGAAGGCTCCCGGGGCCTGTGGACAGAAGGTGCCTATACAGATGCTACCCTGGCTTGATGGCTGCCCCCCTCAGGCCCTTCACTGGGACTGCTTGGTTACTCCGCCTCCTGAGCTCTGAGCCTCCGTTTGCCTCCCTGTTAAATGGGCATGGGGATCTGACCTCTGGGCTGTGAGGGTCAACGTCTGTCGCTCTCCTTTGGATACACTGCTCTGGCGGTTTCCCCAGGCTGAGGGCAGTGCTGGCCACAAGTTGGTCAGCAAGCCTTAGAAACCAGGGCCCCAGCTCATCTGCTCTGTGCTCCTGAGCCGGCTGGACGCCCACAATCATCCAGTGGAGGTCTTGTCAAAAAGCGTCTTCCTCTGCCCCGTTTGCATCCCTTCTGTCTTTCTTCCGCCCCCCCCCCCCCCCCCCCCCCACACACACACACACACTTGGTTTGTGGTCATTTCAGAGATGTGCTGCTGTGACCACTAAAACTCTATACCCTCTAAACAGACACTCACCTCCAGACACTGACCCACATGTTCCTGCCTCGGGGACGTTTCATTCACATAAACTCGGTCGGACAATATGCGTCCCATCATCTGGCCACACTGTCACTTAGGACAGGTTCCCCGTCTAAGCACCGGACTTATTTGTCCTTAGTCTATCTTCAAAATCGCTCTCCCTCAGTGGGACAGAGTACCCACTAAGCAAGGCTAAGCAGAGGCCTACTCGTGCCTGTGTACTAATCTGTATGAACAATTTCACATGGGGTTCACTACATCTTGACAGTTGACCTCCCAGGCCGCCAAAGACCAACCATTAATTTGGCAAAAAAGTTGCCAATGCGTGCCGCCACTAGGTGGTGCTCCTGTTGCATCACAAGTGAGAGGCTGGGCCGGAGCCCTGGCAGAGATAAGATGTGCTGCCCCCATCTGCCAGTTTGCCCTGTGGTGGCTCAAGTGATGCTGGAAGATAGGCCCTCTCCCCACGGTGGCTTTTGAATATCAGCCCAAACCTCCCGGTGGTGACAACCAAATGTAGTCCAATGTCGTGGAGCTCCCTGACTGAAACCAACACACCAAACTCACTGCCATTGAGTCGATGCCACCCTGCAGGGCAGGGTACCACTGCTCCTGGGTTTTGCCAGGACTGTTTACAAGAGTAGAAAGCCCCATCTTTCTCCCACGGAGCAACTAGTGGATTCAAACAGCTGACCTTGCAGTTAGCCCCTCCATGAATCACCACGACGCCACCGTGAAAAAGCAGGCGGCTACTGTGTAAAAATGCAGGATGGCAGAGGTGGCACAGGACCGGGCAGAGGCCCATTCGGTCGGAGCAGGAGCCGGAGCTGCCACCGTGGCAGCTAGTGGTCACCTTGGCGAGTGGGCTGTGCACTGGGACTTCTCGCTGCCACTGCCAACTGAGGAGCTACGGAAGCCCGGGGATCTCCAGACCGGCAGCTTCCTAGGCCAGCCCCTCCTCTGATTGAGCAGCTGCTATTAGGACGTCCAGGGTCACCAGCGTGTCACCATTTCATGTAGGCTTTGGTCCAACCTGCTGGCTTTGTTTTGAATCTGACTTGCCATCAAATGTTACCAGTTCTCCCTCTCTTAAGGTTTGCTTTTTGCAGACTTGATACCATGACTCAAATCATCAGTGGCATCAATGATTAAAAGAAAATACTACAGGAGTCTGGGATACGCCATCAGGCACCTCTCTCCAGCCTGGTGTGTCTGTTGAACAGGTACTTACCGAGCACCTCTTCTGTGCCAGGCACGTTGATCCCGTAGCTCTGCCTGTCAGTCACTTAAAATGTGGCCAATCGTACTGTAAGCCTAGTCCTTCATTCTTCATGTTGCCACCAGGAAGCCTGTCAGATTGCCAGCTGTTTGCTGGGACCAGGTACCCAGCCATACCTCACTGTTTCCGGCTATCCACAAAGGAGATGGGGTCGATTGAATTCTGCACCCTTAGTGAGCCACATGGGCCCTAGATAATACCTGCCATTTTTATAAGGGCTCAAAACCTACCGGATGACCGACCGGAGCCAGGCATACCCAGCTGTCATTTCTGAAAGCGGCTTTCTGGTGCTCTAACAGGCAACATTTGCCTGTCTCCATGGGCCGCCCTCTCCACCCACCCTCCTCAGCTTCCTCTCCATGGGCCGCCCTCACCACCCACCCTCCTCAGCTTCCTCTCCATGGGCCGCCCTCACCACCCACCCTTCTCAGCTTCTTGAGTTTGCAATGTTTCCCACTGGAGGCTCTGCAACCGCACTGGAAAAGCCTCTGCCGGAGCTGTTTAGTTGCCGACGAGAGTAGAGCCGGAAAGGCTCGTGTTGAGGGCGGGCCCCATCCGTCCTGGGCCCCAGTTGCTCCATAATCCTGTGT